TCAGTCCCAAGCAAAAAGGGTTTTCCATTTGGTCACAGCAAACTGCAGAAACTTGGCTTCTCCCAAGATCAGTTCTATAACACATTTATTCTCACTGAAAATGATTCACTTAAGTCGGCTCTGTGGCTATGTCGATGCGAACGCTTCATAATCCCTGGATGGCAGGCTCGATCCCAGCTGCGGGCCAGGTGCCTTGCGTTGGTTTCAACAGTGGTATCAAGAAAGCCGACCGTCCAGAAAGTAATAATGGCAAACTACTAGATGTAAATTTGCCTAGAAAAACCACACAGCAGCCAGGGGCTGCTGGGGTTGGTTCTGCAACATCCTGTAAAGGATACGCAACTAACCTGATTCACTTAAGATTTTTCATTGTGGTTATTTGAACAATTTGAACAGTTAGTCAGTTAACGGTATGGAGGCTGGGAGAGAGAGATAAAGAGAGAGAGCGAGCAAGAAAGCATGATACTGTGGAACCTCGGCACTCCTTAAGATCCCTTCTCATTGTTGTATATAATATTCTACTTTCATTAGCCATTTCCTAGCATTCAATGTTGGTTATTCTGGCAGTCCAAGGTATTCTCAACATTCTTCTCAAGAACCACATCTCACTTGCCTCCAAAGCCTTCCTAATTTGTTTGCTCACATCCCAAGATTCACTACCATACAACAGGACAGGTTTGATATAACATTTCAATACTCGTTCTCTGATGTTTAATGAGAGTGTTTTATTACATAAAATACTTTTCATCTTCTGAAGAGCTGCCTTTGCCAGGCCAATTCAGCTCTTAATTTCTGTCAAACGTCGTCTATCTGATGTTATGAATGTCCCCAAATACTTTCATTTACTGAGTTGGATTAGCACTTTCCCCTCTATTGCTATGTTACATTTTGGAGTTATCTTCTTTTTGTTTCTATTTTGTTGATATTTAAGGAGAGTCCCTTTTTTGAACTATCTTGGACCACAATGTCTAATAGTTGGTGCAGGTTTCCAAACAATAGTTTTTTTTTTTTTTTAATGTAGATAAATACATTTTTAACTATCAGTTACCTGCGTAAAGTATTTTTTAAAAGGATTTATTTCTGAACTTCCAACAGGTTCATGATGCTTAGCACTCATGGAGCAAAAGGGGTAATAAGCATGTTCTAAAAGGCGACTAATTAAGGTTTTTGCAGAAATTCTATGCGCTGGGCCAAAAGGTAGAGATATCGCAGCTTAACTGTAAACCACAATGCACCGTGTCAGCTGTCCTTATAAGAAGAATGGAGAATTAGAAGAAGCAGCCCATTTCAAGGCGGATTTTTAAAATAAATTACCTAAGTTTGCTAGTGTTATTACTGTAACTAATTCATGTCCAAATAATTAACGAGGCCAATATCTTCTAAGGACAGGACAAGTTAAAGTTATACTTCACTAGGTTAAAAAAAAAAAAGTTAAACACAACAAGAACTGCTTGGGAATGAGAAAGATAAAATGTTGAGCATGATGGCCAGATATATGCACTGCATTCCAAAATTTACAGATTATAACATCAAATATCCAATGTTGCCACAATTTTATCCAATAAAATGATGGAGTTATGGACAGGAGACAGGTTGACATGACATATCAATATTTTTTCCAACAATATAAACAGCAGAGACAGAAAATATCGGGACAAATGATCAACAATAAAATTGTCCTAAATGTGAACATTCAATTATTCAAACTCACTATTATTTACATTAGTTGAAAATAACGTAAACACTGGATACTACACAGTAACACATGACAAGATGACAGTTGATGCTGTCATAGATAAATAATTCATATCTTTTCTCCTGAGTTACAGATATGCCAGACAGGACAAAACAGGAGTGCTGCAAACACTTTTGTTTATGCCAGAAAATAAGCAAACCAAAGCCATCATAACTGCTTTATGTTCTCCACTTTATAGGACGGTCAATGAAAGAAGGGTCTTTGAGCCTGAGGACTTAGAGCCTCATGGCTAGTGCAGTCCCAGGAACTGTGCAGGTCAGGATTATATTTTTGCCCACAAAGGGACAAAGTCCGTCACTTTTTTCAAGGGTTCGAACTCAGGTCTCCCGAAAGAAAGCTCAGTGTTGTAACCGCTCGGCCAGCCGTTTTTCATCAAAACCATAAACGTAATAATAATAATAATAGTAATAATGAGCAGGAGAATATGAAATTAGTAACCAAATATTTTTCCATACCATCATTATCCACATTATACGCCATACCAAAATGTGTAGCTTGTCATGTTTTTCGGCCTCCCATACGATCACCAGAACCACGAATCAAGTCGTCAGTATTGACCTAGCCATTGGTGTGTTTATCTCTTTGTCTTCCCTCCAGTTTTGCCAGTCGTTTCCAAATATTCAAGTCCATTCCTTCACACAACAAACTTTTCATACCAATTTTATTTATCACCACAACAGCTTACTGGAAATCATCACTAAAATCAGGGCTTCCTTGTGGTGGTACATAATGGTACACAGTACCTGCACCTTTGTAGACAGTGTGTGGTGAGTACCAACACCTTTGTTTCCCTCCAAAAAATTTAAAAAAAAAACTAACTAAAGCCATGCTTAATATTGATCGGCTTCATATCTCGAACCAACAATAAATATATATTTCTGTAATGTGGTCAACAATAATGATGTAGGGGTTGTGAGTATGGTTTCATAATCCCAACTTATCCATGTTTAAAGTCAACTGCAGACAATTAAACAGCAGATCACTTTGTATGGAGTTTGGCAAAAATATAAGCATCGTACCATTGGAAAAGCAGTGGCAAACTACTGAGCATAAAAATGTATACAAAAACTATATTATAGCTGATGAATGTTGGAGTTCATTTTTGATGTTCTGTAGAGGAACCACAACTTTTTAACTGTGATATTAACTGTTAAATTAACTGTGATATTAACTGTGATATTAACTGTTAAATTAACTGTGATATTAACTGTGATATTAACTGTGATATTAACTGTGATATTAACTGTGATATTAACTGTGATATTAACTGTGATATTAACTGTGATATTAACTGTGATATTAACTGTGATATTAACTGTGATATTAACTGTGATATTAACTGTGATATTAACTGTGATATCAACTGTGATATTATAGAGATCATCTGTACCCACTCTTTACATTCTTTTTCTATCCCTTTTTTGAACTAGCAAAAGTGGCGCGGTGATTTCGGTCACAGGCATGAGGGGAAGTTAAGTCTGATGTGATGTGTATAAGGAGATATTCCGTACCCCACTCGGGCGCCAGTCCTTCACTGTTCTGGTTTTACGGAACCTCATGCAAGACTCCTGTTGCACGTCCCCGTCGTGCGCCACGGATAATGTCTCAAATGAGCATTAACAGAGTTGGCAGGGGATCTCGGAGCTGGCGGCCCCTAGAGGTGTAGAGTCCTTTCTGGCTCTCATCAGCCCGCCCCCAAACGCATGGGTGAAAAGTAACAAAACTCAAGGACTGCTTGCTAAATGTACCATCAAATGACAACTCTTGGTTAAAATTCGGGAGCGAATGGAAAACTGTGCTGCTGAGACTCAACCCTGACCGAGAGATTTACCCGCAGCCAAGACGAGTAACATCTCTTGTGGGCGACTTCTCGCAGCAAGATCCCACCTACGTACATCCTCTGTCAATCCTCAGTGTCGTCGTCACCGCGCTGAGGTACACCATGGCAGCAACTATTCATATGCTGGCTTGAAAACAATGTCCGACAAAGTTACACCCCACGGCACACATGCAAGCTCAAAGTCCGACGATCATAACTCGTACCGATTAGGAAAAGTCTGAATGTCCGTATCCACTGGTCCAACTCGCCCGAGTGTTGGGACCAAACAGGTGAAGCCACGCCTGACGCATTTTGCTTCCCCATTCTGTCGTGCTAAGGGCACAGCTGAAACAACGTTAAAGGTGTCTAACGTAAGATGAAAAAGAACGTACCTATTTGTGTGGCCACAAACGTCCTAGACCTGGGGGCTGCTCCCCGCTGATCTCCGGAGAGCGCAGCCTTGTAGCGCAGGAAGCTCAATACACGGTTGTGAGGTTAAGCAGTCATGGGCAGGACGTGACGATTCCTTGGGTGAGCCCAGAACCAGAGCATCATATGTCGGCTCTGCATTTATGGAAGCCTCCTTGGATGGCGGGGAATGCCCATGATCTGCCCCTGCCTTCCCTTGAGGGCTGAAAACTCTACATAGAGCTGCCTTAAGGACGACATGCCGGGGGCCACACCTGTTAAAAGTCAAAGAGGACACCACACAAATAAGGCAACATCTCGACCCACACAAAACAATGGCCACAGTCAACCTAGAAATAGGCTTGACGTCTTCCTCCGAAGTCGGAGTACATCTGCCGGAGAGGCGGGGAACGAGTACTGCAAACAAATAAGCCAGTAAAACGGATGTACACGCAAAACTCAGGTCAAGGTGAAAGCCAAAAGTCCATTTTGGACGAACAACCGTGACTTACCGCCGGAATTCACAGCCGGTGAACAAGAAGAAGAAGAAGAAGAACTAGCAAAAGGCTAGCCCAGTCAACAAAGGCCTGCAGAAGCCAGATGTGTCGGCTGAGCAAATATCGCAGCCATGCTGCAAACAGGTGAAATGCAGTTACATCCTCGAATGAATGCAGAACTAGTGAAAACTGAAAATGTAATATGTAGCAGTGAAACCGTTTTTCACAGCAAACATTTCAAGCATCATGATGCAGATTTTCATAAATACATAAACTATGACCAGACTTTCACAACACATTTAAATCTTATGTCATTGCGCAATTCAAAACATATATTTGTTTGTTTCGATATTTATAAAAACACCTGGCACAGGCGATTTTATTCAAATGTCTGAATAAACAGCAGAGACACACTATCTTCTCTAGTATTCCTGATGATCACCCTGTCATCGCAAACAATACGCGTATTGTTGACCGAATATATAACTAATTATGTAAATGATAACACTTTAAATTGCTATCACCTGAAGTTATATAAAACACACAACAAAACTGTTGGCCAAATAATGAATGATTGCGGTAGATTGTTTTGGCCCTTGTTGTCTGCATTTATGATTCCACTTGTTTTCTTACTGCCTAGACTGGAACTGTGCTTCTCAACGATTTCACCAGAGTGAATGCCCTTGCTAGGGTTGGTGTCATAAATGCCAGTTTGGTCACGGGATTCTTGAGACTGAGCTGGGTAAACTGCTGGTCGAGATGTTGTGGCAGAACACAGTTCTAGAAAAACGTAAGAAACAATTTGGGTTTAGTGTATTAACAAATTTAATGTTACCAGTTTTTTCACAATTTCATTACTGTGTTTAGCCATGCACACGTGCATGCACGCACACACACACACACACAAACACAACACAAAACTGAGGCTTAACTTTATATCATGGCAACCAACCAACATCCCTCGCATCATTCCCTTAGATCGCAATAAACCACCAAAATCCCCTATAATATTCCTGTAGATTGCAATAAACTTACGGCATTAAAAAAAAAGGAACACAGTTCTTGCCCGGCATATTGTTTTAAATTCTGAAACTTTTCAGACTTATTGCCATTTTTTACTGCTGCTACTGGTGATAATTCTTTTCTGAGATTACAGGCTAAAAACAAAAACAATATTTCTACATTACAAGGTTCAGATAGATCATGGTTGTTGCTGGCAATTGCAGGACTGCTTTTGTTTATTATAAAATTAACAGATGTGCTGTTGGCATCTGTGACTGAGGATTGGGAATACGGTTTCACAATTCTGACATCCTGGGACTCAAAGTCAGTTGCAGGCGATTTAGTAGCAGTGTGCCAGTTTTCATTGAATCTGACAATAGTATATGTCAAAATAATGTTTTTCAAATTGTAAATGTGAACAAATAAGACAAAACAACTATCATCATAATCAAGTGCCAAGCCGATCATGCCCCTTCACAATCTGTGATCTTCTACAGCATGTAATATTTCTTCTTCTTCTTCTTCGCGTTCACCAGCTGTACACTCTGGCGGAAGGTTCTGGTTGCTCGTCCACTACTGAACTGCAGTCCTGCTCCAGAACCTGAGTGTTGCGTGTGCATCAGTTTTACAGATCCCATTCTCTTGAATACAGACTGTTGGTTCCTTGCCTCTCCGGCAGATTCACTCCGACTTCAAAGGAAGCTCCCCAATTAGTCGACTCTTACGACATGCTATTGGGGAGGCAGTGGGTCTATTCTTGTTTTCCCCACAATGGGGCCGCGCAACCCACACGGGGGATGTAATATTTCATTTGCTGGCCCTGCATGCAACAAGGCTGCCAAGAATCGTCTCGTGTTGTTCTTATCTGTATCTTTTTGTCCACAGATCTTTCCAGTTGTCACAACGTGTTTAAAACAATAGACTGTACAATTTATAGCCTGGCAAATTTGACCATTGGGAGTTGCAGTGGCATAGCAGCTAGATGCTCGTGTGCGGATCAGAAAGTCGTAGGTTTGCATCCTGGCAGAGTTGGACTATTTTTTCAAAAATGACCTTGACTCCTAGGTCGACCTAGCCTTGAGTGGGTATGGGTACAGGGTGCAGTCCTTGGAAGTAAAGGTGGCCGGCATGATGCTGACCACATCACCCATCTTGTGCCGATTGGTCTACAAAAAATATAGGTCTAGCCCTATATGCCTAAAGGCGTGGAAAAAAGGACCTTTACTTCACTATATTTGACTATTATAGTTAATTTGTTAACAGACAGACAGAGTGAGGAGTGAGAGAACACGAGATTGGTGGTGGTACTCACTACTGGGGGAATTGATGATGAACTCCATGGGCCGACCCAGGACATGAAGCCTTTCATTTCCACAAGCTGGGTCTGCCTCAAGCTCATATCCATTGGCAGTGACTTTGCACACCTGAAGAAGGCAAATGAAGGACAGGTGTCAACGAATAAGAATTTTAATGAAATGTGCAGACTAGTTGCATGCATGTGTATGTGCATGCATGTGTATGTGCATGCATGTGTATGTGCATGCATATGTGTGTATGTGTGTATGTGTATGTACATTTCATTAGTTCTTGTGTTTATGTGAACACGTGTGTTAGTAAGTGAAAATTTGTGCGTGTGTGAGAGAGAGAGAGAGAGAGAAAGAGAGGAAAAGGGATGGAGGCAAAGACAGACCGATAGGCAGGTAGGCACAGACAGGTAAATTCAGATAGCAAGTAGAAAGCAACTTTTTTGTATGCAGATGTACAGGTAATCACAAGATTTACCTGCATGCACGTATACACGTAACATCAAAGTTTATGGATACTTATCACAAATGTGATGAAGATGATAAAATTAAGCATAATAATAATAATAATAATAATAAGAAGAACAAGAACAAGCAGAACAAGAAGAAGAGAAAGATGATGGAGGTGAGGAGTGGGAGGAAGAGGAAAAGATCCAGGAAGAGATGATACCCACCAGACAATCAGCCGCCTTTCTCAGATCCCCCGCCCGACCTGCGATGACGTAGATCCGGTCACCTTCCGTCCAGTTGTGATAACACTGAAGGACATCAGCTACAAAAAAAAAAAAAAAAAGAAAACATTCAGCTAAGGCCTTACTACATATTTTCTTCGTGGAGATGACTTATGAGTTGGATTATCTTCACAGCGCTCCGGACACATCCTTAGGTGCTCAGATTTCCCTCTCAACATATTCATCAGCGTCGCGCGGTTAATAGTGCCAGTCCTATGTTGGTTAACAAGACTTTGTGTGCGTCCAGAGTGCTTCTCATGCTTCGCGTATACTTAGCCTCAGAACGTCCTATCTCTCTAAGGGTAATGACAATATCTGCGTGATCCATGGGCCGGCCATCTTCAGTTAATGCAGCACCTGCCAGTCTTATCAGCTCTTTCATTACCAACAACGCCTGCATGCCTTGGGACGAATATGAAGGTAGCTGCACACACAGAAGAGTTTTGCAGTGACTCAAACCACTGTCCGCGTAACCAGCCTGCCTCGACCCGCCGGATCATGCTCAAAGAGTCACCCAGTACACCTCCATCGTTATGCTGCTGGTGGTCGTGGAGAAGGCGGGCAAATGTTCAGATCATCACAAAGACAAACTGCATGCACGTATACGCCAGAAGATTCTTGACGGCCTTTTTGTTATGGCATGGAGGGGAGGAGAGGCAGAGGGAGACCGAGAGAACAGATGCTGGACAGTCTGACATCATGTCATGGAAGATCATCTGTACCAGGGTTGACTTAAAGTACACAAGACAGAAGATTCTTGACGGCCTTTTTGTTATGGCATGGAGGAGTGTCGGAGAGGGGGGGGGGGGGGCAGAAATAAAAGACTGCACTAATCATGCGGGCCTAAATTATCAGGCTCAAAGATCACCCGCCCCCCCCCCTCCCCCACCCTTGGTCTACATCACAAAAATGGTCGCAGTAATGACAGAATTGGAGCATGAAGGGGTGTCAGCACACAATCTGATACATGTTGTTGAAGATCGCAGGTTGTGGAGAGGCATGATCGCCCAAACCAGTCTTGATGATGATGAAATTCTTCATTAGATGACTGCAGAGACTGACATATGCAAGACAGTTAGCTGCTGTCACCTCACACGTAAGAGATGGTTGAATTAATGAGTGAACTAATATATGAATGCAAGAAGGAGAGGATGATACATGGATGAATGGATGAACTGATGCACAGACGAAGTAATACATGGTTGAACTAATTCGTGAGTGAACTATTGAACGGATGAACTAATGTACAGACAAAGTAATACATAGTTGAACGAATGCATGGGTGAACTAATGCTTAAATGAACCAATGAAGGGATGAACTAATGCACAGACGAAGTAATGCATGGTTGAACTAATGCATGGATGAACTAATGTACCGACGAAGTAATGCATGAATGAAATAATACATGGATGAACCAAAACATGGATGAAAAATACATGCATAGATGAATCAAGTCATGGATAATTGAATGAATATATGGCTGAACAAAGAAATGGATGATCCAATACACATATTTGGATAAACTAAAACACATATGAACTAATACACATATGAACTAATACACATATGAACTAATACACATATGAGCTAATACACATATGAACTACTACACATATGAACTAATACATACATGAACTAATACACATATGAACTAATACACATATGAACTAATACACATATGAACTAATACACATATGAACTAATACACATATGAACTAATACACATGTGAGCTAATACACATGTGAGCTAATACACATGTGAACTAATACACATATGAACTAATACACATATGAACTAATACACATATGAACTAATACACATATGAGCTAATACACATATGAACTAATACACATATGAACTAATACACATATGAACTAATACACATATGAACTAATACACATATGAGCTAATACACATATGAGCTAATACACATATGAACTAATACACATATGAACTAATACACATATGAACTAATACACATATGAGCTAATACACATATGAACTAATACACATATGAACTAACACACATATGAGCTAATACACATATGAGCTAATACACATATGAACTAATACACATATGAACTAATACACATATGAACTAATACACATATGAACTAATACACATATGAGCTAATACACATATGAACTAATACACATATGAACTAATACACATATGAGCTAATACACATATGAGCTAATACACATGTGAACTAATACACATATGAACTAATACACATATGAACTAATACACATATGAACTAATACACATATGAACTAATACACATATGAGCTAATACACATATGAGCTAATACACATATGAACTAATACACATATGAGCTAATACACATATGAACTAATACACATATAAACTAATACATACATGAACTAATACATATATGAACTAATGCATAGATAACACTATTACATAAATCAAGGCTATTCAGCTAAATTTACTCAGGATCCAAAATGTTGAAAGTGTGGGATGGTCACAGCCCAGAGCCCCGAACCCCAAATTAGAAAGAGCATCCTCACAGTACAACGGTCAATGATCCGTGGACCACTTGTTGCGCTTCCACGGGCCAGATTTGACCCACGGACAGACAACAGAATAGCCCTGATATAGATAAACGGATAATGAATAATGAAGACAACTGATTGCCCACACCAGAAAGAGACAGTCTGCATTCGTTTGGTCATGTGATGAGAAGGGGAAAACTGGAGTACATCGTGACAGTGGGAAAGGTTAAAACGACGGATCAACATCATGGCACAAGGGTAGTAACCCATAAGTGCTCCGTTCTACTTCTGATTCAAGCCTAAGTCCACAGAATTTCAGCGCAGCGCACAAACTCCGTAGCACCGGGTAGATTTTTAATTCCAAATTTTTTTCCGGGCAGCGCTGTAAGACTACAGTAGGAAAGTTGGAGGGGAGGAGAGGCAGAGGGAGACCGAGAGAACAGATGCTGGACAGTCTGACATCATGTCATGGAAGATCATCTGTACCAGGGTTGACTTAAAGTACACAAGACAGAAGATTGTGGATAGACATGACTACCAACGCCACAGTGCACTGACTTTAGGAAGGAAGATGAACTACTACATAAATGAACATATGAACAGTTGAACTAATACACAGAAGAACTAATATACAGATGAACTAATACACAGAAGAACTAATATATAGATGAACTAATACACAGATAAACTAATATACAGATGAACTAATATGTAGATGAACTAATATACAGAGAAACTAATAAATAGATGAACTAATACACAAAAGAACTAATATTTAGATGAACTAATACACAAATGAATTCTTCTTCTTCTTCGCGTTCACCAGCTGTACACTCTGGCGGAAAGTTCTGGTTGCTCGTCCACTACTGAACTACAGCCCTGCTCCAGAACCTGAGTGTTGCGTGTGCATCAGTTTTACAGATCTCATTCTCTTGAATACAGACTGTTGGTTCCTTGCCTCTCCGGCAGATGCACTCCGACTTCAAAGGAAGCTCCCCAATTAGTCGACTCTTACGACATGCTTTTGGGGAGGCAGTGGGTCTATTCTTGTTTTCCCCACAATGGGGCCCCGGAACCCACACGGGGGACAAATGAATTAATATAGAGATGAACTAATACACAAAGGGGCCATCCTCTGAATAACGGGCACAAAAAGATGGCGGACGCAAAAACATCCTAACAGAGCCTCAGTCACGTGTCATTTGCGCACTTCCGGCGACTTAATTTGCGGTTTTCCGGCGACTACCACCACCGCTGAGAGTGTCCCACACGCCGCGTAGATTGGGGCTAAACTAGATGGCTGGGACTCACGAGCAGCAGTTTCCGCATCTCCTGCAGCTTTGCTCGTGAGTCCCAGCCATCTAGTTTAGCCCCAGTCCACGCCGCGTGAGCGGCGTGAGGGATAATCTAGGCGGTGGCGGTGGCGGTAGTCGTCGGAAAACCGAAAATTAGGTCGCTGGAAGTGCACAATTGACACGTGACTGAGGCCCTGTTATTGGCCGCCATATTTTGTGCCCGTTTTTTTTTCGGAGGATAGCCCACAGAGGAACTAATATATAGATTAACTAAAACACAGAGGAACTAATATATAGATGAGCTAATATATAGATGAACACAGGTGAACTAATACACCAGGATACTGACCGGATTCGCCGCCAGGACAGCGTCCGTCAACGACAATCTCCGAGTCACGTGAGCATCCAATGTCCAGTTGGCCGGTGCACTGGGAGTGGCGCTGGACGTAGTTGTAGACCCCGGGTAGTGGACACGGCTTGGGCAGCGAGTCGGAGGCTGGGGATGGACAGACAGATATCAGAGTTAACTCATCTGTGGGTGGCTGGTATACAGACACACACACATGCATGCATACATGTTTAGGTACATGTAACGTCAGTCTCCCCTCGTCCCGCCCATAGACAAACTAGCTTACTTCTGATTGGTAGTTCCTGAACCTGTCACCTTGGCACAAGGTTACGGGGGTGTTCTGCAATGCCGTTGATATCGCCAGCGCTTTTAACACTTCAAAAACATGGATAAACTGACACTAACACATCCCCTAGAGAGAGAGAGAGAGAGAGAGAGAGAGAGAGAGAGAGAGAGAGAGAGAGAGAGCAACCTATGTCACTGGTATTCTCTTTCTCAGAATGAAAACGTAAATGCAAGACAACGCAGAAAGCAAACAACAGAGCGTAACCCGTAACCTTCAGGAAAGTCGACCAGCCCAACAAACTTGTGAATGAAAAGTGACCTTCTCTATTTGATGAGATGAACGTTACTTTAACACATGTTTATGTTTATTCGACGGATCAACATCATGGCACACATGTGTAACCCATAAGTGCTGCCGTTCTACTTCTAACTCAAGCCTGAGTCTGAAGAATCTCAGCGCAGAGCACGAACTCCGTTGCACCGGCGAAGATCCCGAAAAACTGTGGGTAGATTTTTAACTACAAATTTTGTCCGGGCAGCGCAGTTATGCTACTCTTTTTCGATTTCCAACTGCCAATAGATTTTTTTACGTGCGCAAAATACACACGGGCATCCGGTCTTACTACCCAGAGACCATGGAAAATTACTAGAAGTCCACGTAAAAAACCACAGCCTTCACCGGGGCTTGAATCCGAGACCTCCAGCACTCGAGGCGGACGCCATATCTCGAGACCACTCAGCCCCCCCCCTCTTTGCACACATACATATATACATACAAACATACATAGCACATTCACAGGCACACAAAACATACATTCATACACGCACACACATACACAGGGAACTGGCACGAGGAATTACGGTAATCAATCATAGTTGATCGTCCCCTATTTCTTCACCTCCTTCATCCGTGTGGGGACTTCCATCGCGAAGTAGCCAAATCGTTCGCCGCACGTTTTCAAGGTTTGGGTTCGTTTTACGACGGCGCCATTCAGTTCGCCGAGCGCAATTTCCCCCGGAGACACATAGCGAATGTCGCTGAAGCAACGGGGTTCGTGCTTTGTGCGACGCTCTTGACAAGCTTTAATTATTCTGCTGAGAGTCCGAGCCATGTGAGATAAAAACCCGTTGCAATGAAGTCGATCATCTCGTACTTCAACAGTAATCTCCCAGCCTTTTTGCCCTGTGTCCCTAAACTGAGCATAACCACTTATTTACTGATTTCTTGTATTCACATCACCCATCATATTCACTTCTGTCTCTACTTATCTTCCCGGTGTTTTTGTTAATTTAGGAATCAAAACAATGCAGAAAAGCATATTTACGGAGGATGGCAGACTCGACAGAAAGATAGAAGCCAGAGTACAGAAGGCACAGGTTGCCACCAACCAGTTAGCCCCACTGCTCAAACACCAAATGTCTGCCTTCCAGCAAAACAGCAAATGATTAATAGCATCTTTACCCCCACCTTATGTTATCGGTTCCAAACATGGAAAATGAATAGGGCACTAGAAAAGAAAATAACCACATGTGAAATACGCTGTTTCTGCAATGTCACTAACAACATTAAATGAGACAGGGTTACGAATACCAGCATTAGAGAGAAAGTTGGAATAGGACCATTTCTGGATTATATTGACAGGCAAAGATTAAATGGTTCGGCCATCTCGTCAGAATGCAGCCAGGCCAGACTGCTATAAGACTTTTTACAGTAAAACATCTTGGAGGAAGGTGAGGGGAAGATAAAAAAAGAGATGGATGAATGTTTTAGCTGAAACCTGCAAAAAGATGATCATCACTCAAACCACCCGAGAAGCGCAAGACAAATACAGACAACCACGACACTGGGCTTCAACCTGGTATCAGTGAGACGACAAAACCACGACACTGGGCTACAACCTGGTATCAGTGAGACGACAAAACCACGACACTGGGCTACAATCTGGTATCAGTGAGACGACAAAACCACGACACTGGGCTACAATCTGGTATCAGTGAGACGACAAAACCACGACACTGGGCTACAACCTGGTATCAGTGAGACGACAAAACCACGACACTGGGCTTCAATCTGGAATCAGTGAGACGATAAAACCACGACACTGGGCAACAACCTGGTTTCAGTGAGACGACAAAACCACGACACTGGGCAACAACCTGGTTTCAGTGAGACGACAAAACCACGACACTGGGCAACAACCTGGTTTCAGTGAGACGACAAAACGACGACACTGGGCAACAACCTGGTATCAGTGAGACGACAAAACCACGACACTGGGCTACAACCTGGTATCAATGAGACGAGACAAGAAGAAGAACAACAATGCAGCTGCCACAGTTTTGGACTGTGGATGTGCTTAAAAAAAACCCAGTTGTTTGGCCGATGTACTGATAAAATCCGGCTAGTTAACCAAGACGATTTTTGCCGAGAATTTTCAGTCAGTAATTAAAGCACTTGCCAGAAAAACATTGACATCAACCTCCAAACTTCTTTCGTCTCAAGTTCCGTCCGCCAGAAATGTTTTATAGGTTTCAGTTTTCACAGACCCAGGGCCAGCGCGAAGACACACCTGCTTCCTGCTGGTAAACGCGTGCAACTTTATCCCGGTCGTAAATGATAAATGTTGGTTTAGGAGTCCGCCTCTCACAGATAAGGTTTCAAATGTGAACTGAAAACCACGAAAAGTCAATATGGCTAGGGTTAAATACCAGATACGCTCTTCCCGCTTGGTAATCATAAATATGGCTTCCTTTCCGCTTCCGCTGTGATGTAGCTTTCTGTTGTAATTACTAAAGCCATCTTGTATTGGTTTTCAGACATAGAGCAGTTCATAGAGATAACACCGGACACCGGGGGAGGTTATAACTCTGTTTGTTTTCTGTGGGAAGTTCAGGTCCCTGTTACTGGACGTTCCATGTCGAAAAATCCAATGGGTATTTTTACATTTGAGTATATTAACTGAAAACTGGTGAATATTATATGGGATTAATCCGAGAGAGGCAAAGAAACAAGGAAAATGTCTGAACAACTGACTGACTGACTTTCTACCCCACTAGGACATCACACAAGCGACAAACACCAGATGACACAAAGTGCCACCATGTGGATGAGGATCGCCGTGGAGAGGTCCCAGAAACCGCGTTCAAACAATTGGCCATTTTTATGGCCTGATGATATTGCGGCCCATGGCAAAAGCCAGGGTGGGGCTTCAAATAACAAAAAATGTGTCCTTAAAACGACGAAACGGTGGATAGGCAGATGACTGCTTATCAGGCTTATTTTGGTCTGAACAACCACTGTTATTGATAGTTATGAGACAAGGAAGATGGCAGTATATCGATTACATCCTGAAAAGAAGAGGAGGAGAATCACTAAACATACAATGAAATGGGAAACAAATGGACTGGTCAAACAATGACATCCAAGAAAAACCATAAAGCGAACGCTGACGAGATAGGACAAAGACGCTGGACTGGATTCGATCCATGATATCAAAATGATAACACAGGATAAAACTAAGTTTGGAAGAGATTTCGAGCCCTATGTGTCAAAAAATGGTGGAACTGGAAAATAACGTCTCAGAAAGGGGTGGAGAAGGTCGAGATAACCAAGTGGCTAAAACAGGGTTTTCTGTGGGGTCGTTATACATCAAGTAGCTATAAACATAAAAAAAATTTTTTTTTTAAATCACGTCATCGCATCCTGCACAGAAAAGCAATTCTTGAAGAGTTTTGGGTGTTCCAAATTTTCAATGTATAGGGTTTCCTCTATAAATTGGGGTCACGACCCGAGAAAAAAAGGCTGGGAACCTCTGGGCTAAATGCAGCTGTGCCATTTAGAAGATCTTAGGTTTGAATCCATGCCTTCCCGTGTGGGTACAGGGTCCCGTTGTGGGTTCGGGGGTCCCGTTGTGGCAGTGCAGTAGAAAAAAACCCACTGTCTCCTAACACACTTGTAAGGCTCGCTTTCAAATCCAGCTGCGACTCGCTGCAGCACACGGTCGGTGTTCGAAACCAGGCGGTTCCCGGGGTTTACCCAGCCTCTAGGTAATGGGTACCAGAGTTGACACTCTGGGGTAAATAAAGGAACGTAGCTACAGAGTAACGTGCGAACGGCGACACAGGCGGACAATTCATATCAGCTGTCCGTACTGGTGGCAGAGCACTTATGGTTTATAACTGTGCGCAATGACGCTGTTTCACATCTCCCGACTTTACTTTACACATGTAGCAAGAGTCTACTAATTTGGGGTGTTTTCTTCGGAATTTGCGTGTATCTGCATGAGAGCAAGAAACGACAGTGTGGTATCGTGGCATAGGAAAACATTTGTGTCAGAAATGATTGACAGTACCTGCAACAGAAGGCTGTGGGTGGGTGTGATTACAAACACCACCCGACATGGACTTTATGAAGAATGAGTTATAAATTGAAGCTGATAAAAAGCCCCAAAAGTGGAATAATTTTCTTTATGTTTCAGCCAGATCTAGTCGATTACTTCTATGGTCAGCTGATGAAGCGATACCACACCGTCACGCAGATTATACATTAATCAGATATTACACAACTTCCTGTTTGGGTTAATGATCGCGTGTTACTTTATAGTTAAAATTGGTTGTTTGGCGTTTTATGACTTGTTTATGGTTTACATTTCAGTTAAAGGTTAGAGTTCAAATGTCAGGTGATAGTTTAAAGTTTGGGTTTACAGATAGAGTTTAGATAGGGCTAAGGTTGAAGTTAAGGTTCAAAGTTGAGGGCAACGATAGGGTTTGAAGTTGCATGCAAGCATAATTCGAGGGTTATTTAGTTAATCGACAGATTATCATGACTGCACTTCGAACCATTCAGTCCATAAGTGCGCGGATCAACTCCTTAGTGAATCCCGCAAAGTGTAGCGGCTGACGAAACAAGTTCTGCGTTGGTTTCTTATTCTTTGT